CAAAGCATGTGAGAATCTGAATGTCAAACTAAAGGAGGAGATTGCTGAGGCTAGGAATCATGCCATCAAGATCTCAAATGATTGACAAGCTCTTTGTGTAAAACTCTTAACTTGTGAGACTGAGAGAAACGAGCTACTGAAAAATCTATGCAACATTTGAAGAGAAGATTGAAAATCTTGAGATGTCTCAAGTTGCTTTAGATGAGCTAGTCATCAAGAAAGAAGAAGAACTCAAGAGTGCTACGGCTGAAATTGAGCTTTGGAACAAAGGGTCAAAGGTATTAGAAGACATCATTGGATCTCAACAAATGGGCTTTGACAAGAGTGGAATCAGTTTTGGAGATGACAAGCCGCAAAATTGGAATGCTTCTACATCTCATGACAAAAGGACTCAAGGAAAGAAGAATCAAAAGATGTAACATGATGATAAGTCTCTCCATCGACCTACAGTTGGTATGTCCAATGAAAGGAAGGTAAAACCAATTTTTATTTGTCATCATTGTGGTAGGTATCGCCACATACGTCCTTATTGTTTTGAGTTGTTTGGTAGAGTGTCTCAAAGTACCTCTTGGGTTAGAAGACAACCCTACATGTCTAAGTGGAGCATCATTGACTGAAATGGTGTTCACAATGCTAAGATATCACCCAAGAATCATGATGATCCCTCTTTAGTTAAGACTAGAAAAGTTTAGGTGAGGAAGAGTGACTTGATTTGTTTTGTTGTTCATACTGCTTATGAAGCACGTGACTCGTACATGTGATATCTCGATAGTGATTGTTTTTGCCACATGTCCGGTAACAAATCCTACTTCACATCTCTTGAGAAATATAAAGGAGGAATTGTCATATTTGGAGACGATAGCACCTCTAGCGTCATTGGTTTGAGCAAATGGATGCAGATGCATTTTTCTTAATCCGCCTAAGTCGAATGAATAGTGAATAAGAGGTCACTCGATCGAACTCGATCCATGAGCACCCATTGTTTGGTAAATATGTGATGATAAACTTTTATTTAAGAAAATGAATGGCAATGCATTGAAAATTGTGCCATTTTATTTATTTTAAAATATGACAATTTGTTTGTTATTTTTTGTTTTGTTAGCATTTTAGAAAATGGTGTTATACTTTTATGCTTTTTGTGTTAAAAAAAATGGCATTTTATTAACTAGTCATTATAGCTATTTATGAAATATGAAAGTTAGACTTCTATTTTTATCATAAAAAATAAAGAATAAAATTTTTTGAACCCAAATAAATACCAAACAATAAAGAACTACTAAAAAATAGTTTGAAAAAAAGTTTAAAACAGTAAAGTCAAATTGTCAAACCATCTGTCACTACAACATTTTCTTAATTTAGTGACACTTGAAAGTGCTACAAAATTACTCCTCTAGTGACATTTTTTAGTCTTGTAGCATTTTGAATAAGTGTCATTTATACCCATGCCATGGTACATACTAGTAGCATCTCAGTGATACTTGCAAGTGTCATTACACAATCAAGGTTAAAGGCTTTCAATGACACTTTGATGTCATGGTAGACACTATTCGTGACATTATCAAGCGCCATTAAAGAAGACTTAGTGACACCTCAGTGACACTTGTAAGTGCCATACACCATCAAGATTAAAGACTTTTAATGACACTTTGATTTCATGGTAGACACTATTCATGACACTAAGCACCATTAAAGAAGATTTACAATCTAAAAATGCCACTATATGCTTTTTAATGGCGCTTGTTATGTCACAATTGATATTTTTAATAACTCTTATAAATGCCACTAAACCTAGCTTTTAGTGGTGACTCAAAGTGTCAGTACATCACAATTCATTTGTGCCATAAATGGATATAAGTGTCATTGGAGCTTATTCTAGTGACATTTTGCAAAGCTATTACCACTACTGTGAAATGCCACTTATATGTTCGTTTTAGCAACACTTTTTAAAGTCACAACTAAGCATGCGTAAATGCTTGCAAAAATTGTCTCTTATTTTATGAAAAATTAAATATTAATTGCCACATCCTAGATTGACAATTTGACATCGATTCATCTTGTAATATTTTCATAATAATAAACAAGTATTATCACCATAGGATCATCACATAAAAAATAAAGAAAATTTAAAACACAATTATTTTTTGGTCTAAAGATATAATTTATTTATATTGTAATAAAAATCATAATCAAAATTATATAACATTCTACCACACTAACAAAGTCAAAGCAAACAAAAATTATTTCAACCATGGACAAACTAAACGTAAGTTCCCAAAAACTATAGTTATATTTAATTTCTATATAGACATATTACCAAAACAAACTCAATCTTCAAATTCTCAATCTCACTTGTATAAGTATTCTCAACTAGCATCCATAACTTGCGAAATCTGCATCCAAAAAATAAACATATAAAAGTATTAGAAACTAGGGGTGTTCACGGGTCGGTTCGGCTCGGGTTTGCCCTTAGCCCGGCAGTCGAACTGACACCTTCGGGTTAAAGAATCAGTCACCCATTATCGACTGAACTAGGGTTCGAAATCGACCGAACCAGCGTTTGAAATCGACCAAACCAAACAAATCGGTTTAACAATCGGTTCGGTCGATTTCGTAGATCCGAAAAGAGTAGAAAAAATCATATGAAAAATGGAATTGAAATTTGAAAATAACAAACTTAAACCCACATAAACATCCAATCTGAAACCAAAAAAACAATTGTATAAACATATATATATATATATTTCTTTCTTATAATTAGAATGAGACTTGAGGAGAGAAATATATATAAAAAAAAGCGAGGGATCGCCATTGTTTATCATCGTCACCGCCATTGCTCATTGCAGCCGCAGCCACAGCCGCAGCTGCCACCACCACCACGGCCATCGCTCATTATCGCCACCATCGTTATTTTTGCGCGCATCCATCACTACCGCCACAGCACCAATAGAAAGAGGATAGGAAAAAAGGAGAAGTAGAGATGAGGGAGAGTAAGATGGATGGATCTATTTCTGAAGAAGGAGAAAAAATAAAAAATAAAAAGGGAAGTCGAGATAAGGAAGGATAAAAGATGGATGGATCTGTTTCGAGAGAGAGATGAACTAATGGAGAACTTTGAGAGAAATAGAGAGAGAGATAGAGAGATGGTAAGAAAGATAAGACAGAGTCACAAATGGTGGGTGAGAAAGTAAAAGAGAGAGTGGTTTGTCATATATATATATAGAGAAAGAGAGAGAGAGTGTGGAAAAGGCGTTAGAATTGAGAAGAGAGAAAGAGAGGAGATGAAATGAGATGTTTGGGATCAGAGAGAAGGCGTCATAATTAAAGAGATAAAAGAGTTAAAGTGAAGGGTCAATCAAATATTTGATTGGAAAATACATAAAGGTCTTGAAAATATAAGTCTACAGTTTGTACATTTCCAAGACAAAGGCAGATAGTGTGTTTGCTTTTGGTTAATCTCTCTAGGCAAGTAAGGTAATATAATAATAATAAATTATATATTCTTAATTCGGTCGGATCGGTTTAGTCGGATTTAATTATATCATACTCGGGCTTCGACCGAAATTCATAAAAATTTTAAATTTTGCATCCATAGCCGACTGAGTTATTGGTCGAAACTGCTCGTATCACATCCGGGTCGGGCGGGTCAAGTCGGTTTCACGGGATGTTCGGATATTTGAACACCTCTATTAGAAACTATGTTAAGGCCAAGTTTGGCATACTTGAAAAAAGACAAAAAGTTAAAAAGTCACTATTCTATTTAAGTCACATCATCTTATTTAAGTTATATCACCTCTCTAACGCATCACTTCAAATCCAACCCAAACCCAACCCATATTTCATAAAAAGTCAAAAAGTACACTTATTTAAATCATCCCAAACAACCCTTTTAATATAAATTTGTTAATGAAATTAGTATTTATGGAAGAAATATACCACAAATAGAACAGATCAAGTAACATGAGCTCCAATAGCTTGTCTAATTGTTTTGACAAGTCCATATGTTCGAATCAATCTTTCATTAGGTTTGACTGGTACTTGAACATGTACCTCCCAGCAGTCAGGTCCTAGTTTTTCCCCTTCTACTTCTTTAGATGGGTTTGTGCTATTAAGTACTCTGATTGTAATTGTTTCTGTTGGCCTAATTTTTAGAACAACTATATCTCTAACATGTAAATCAAGATTTAAGTGCTTAAGTAAAATATGTATTTACATTTAATAAATAATATTTAAAAAAAAATTAGTACAAAGTGCTAGAGTGAAGATGATCACAACTGAAAGTGATATGGATTTCTATAGTAGATAAGCAAGCCAAATGCTTTAATTACTAAATTGGTTCACTACACTACAACAAATTATATAAAAGTAACAACCGTAAAACTTTAGACCATATCAAACAATAGCATCAAAAATCAATAACAACCAAAAGCACCAATCAACGACAATCAAAACCATGTCCATTATCAATATCAGGATCACCTAACCTCAACGATGTAAATCAATTTACTATGATTTAATCACTCAATTAGTCCACCACACTACAACAAATTATATGAAAGCAGCAATCATAGGTCTTTAGACCATATCAAACAATAGTTCCAAAAATCAGTAACAACCAAAGGCACCAATTAGCAACAATCAAAACCATGCCCAATACTAATGTCAAGATCCCTTTCACTGCTTTAATACCATCAACCACACATCTTCTAGTAATGAATGAAGAACACCTTGTTTTGGTGCACCAAAATCCCCTTAAATACGTTATGCACATCTTGAAAAATCAGCACATGTAAAATAATTTAAATATTTTTGGCTTCATGTAGTGGAACCGCAATTAGTTAATTGATTCAAATAAAGGATAAAGAAACTGGTGTTACCAAGTCAAAGTTTTTCAAGTGATCAGAAAAAACTAAATCTCAATCACAACAGGTGCCATCAACTCAGGAAAAAATTGTCATGTTTAGTGGCAAAAGGATTGGCAATGGGCAAAATTGTGCTGCAAATGAAGGAAGGTAAGCATACTTTTCATGGGAATTAACTCAACTAAACTATTACACAAGTCAAAGTTTTTCTGCACTAGCTCTGCTATTACACAATTCTACTATTTGTTTTTTTTTTCAGGTACAAAAAACAGAAAGACGGCTAAACCCTCTCATACCCAACACCTAGCATATCAGCTATTAGCAAATACCTCATCTAGGCAAGAGGGTCCTCAGTGACCACAAAATTTTCCACTTAGTCTACACCTATTTTTGCTAAAGCATCAGCACATTGGTTGGCCTCACTATTAATGTGTTTTACCCATGAGCCAGTTCTTTGCAACATGAATCTAGAATCTTCAATTAGAGCTCTTAATGGGAACTCTCCAAGTGCACCTTTGAGCAGCAGCTCTACAGCTTTTTGGCAATCAGTCTCCACTTGAATCTTCTTCCAACCGTTCTCCACTTGTTCAATTGATCAAATGAATACAAGATATTCAAAAACTCCAATTCCATCAATCTGAATTGATACAGTCAAAACAAAATTTATTATAAACATTGAGCAAATATCTGCAGGTACCTCAAACATTGGATCAAATAACCAACTTGGAAAAATAGAATTTATCTACCCATATCAGCATATTATTATCCAAAGACACTGAAAAAATTATCTTAAAAAACTTTTAATCAACAACCACATGAACATCGAGCAAATATCTAATATAAAATCAAAACAAAATCTAATAAAATGATATATTTTTTTATTTTTTTCTCATTCATCCTTACAATAGCAAAAAAGGGGGAAAAACAAATAGAGCAAAATAATACAAGATCTTACTGAGACATTTAAACAAACACTTGTAAGGCATTATATAAAATCACAACATAAATACAATAATAGTGAATAACAATTAACCCTTGATGTTAAAAGAAGAAAATTAATAAATTCATGAGTTAGAAGATTAGATTTTTAGATTGTATCAAGTGTTAAACCTAAAACAAGATCATAAATAAGAGAAAAGAGAGAGGTATTGTGTGTGTTTGCATGTGTGTGTGAGAGTGAGAAATAGAACAGGAAGATGAAAAGACGGTAAATTTGTGATGTAGATGGTGGATAAAGATGGCGCGAAAGATGAAAAATGATAAACCCTTGCTTCATTTTTCCCTCCTCTTTGTTCCGCGAAAAAATTTCACCAATTTCAGATTTGTAGGAATCTTTGCTCAATTTCATCAATTGTTCGCTCAATTTGAAATTGAAAAATGTTTGGTTGTCCGAATTTTTGTGACTCGAATGGTTCGAATGTGTCAAAACGACATTGTTTTAGATATTTCGAGCCATTCGAGCCATAATTTTTCGGATTATCTAACATCGTTGTTTGAAATTTCACCATTTTTAGATTTGTTACTCAATTGTTTGATTTCACCAATTTCGCTTTTCTCTCCTCTTTGCTCTAACCCTACAACTTTTTGCTTCGCTTTCTTGTATTTACCATTTCCTTTGTTAAAAAAAATAAGAGCAAATTACACTAATGGTCCCTATAGTTTGAGTCTTATGTCACTTTGATCTCTGATTTTTCAACTGTCACACATTTAATCATAAATTTTGAATTTTATTCTAGATAAGGACAATTTCAGATACCATCGCTCAATTTCAAGGGCAAAATCGTCAATTTAATAAAATATAAACTAATTTGACAAAAATAAATGTCAAAAAAATATTTTTAAATTTTTAAAAATTATTTCTACCCACTAAAGATAAAATTATGTAAAATTAATAAATCTTTTAGACGTTTATTTATTTATTTTACCAAATTAATTTTTATTATGTGTTTGGATGATAATCATATAATGGGTGGTTATTTTATTTTCATTAAATTAGTTTCTATTTTTCCAAAAGTCAAAGATGGCGACAACTTTAATATCACTATTAAAACAATCCATTAAATCAAAAAATCTAAAACTAAAAATATTTCATATATTAAATATATCAATTACACATTAAAAGCTTAACAATCACCCATTATATGATTATCATCCAAACGCATAATCAAAATTAATTTGGTAAAAAAATATAAATAAATAAATGTCTAAAAGATTTATCAATTTTACACAATTTTATCTTTGGTTGGTAGAAATTATTTTTAAAAAATCAAAAATATTTGTTTGACATTTATTTTTGTCAAATTAGTTTATGTTTTATCAAATTGACGACTTTGCTCTTGAAATTAAGCAATGATATCTTCAATTATTTTTATTTGAAACAAGATTCAAAATTCAGGATCAAATGTGTCACAATTGAAAAGTCACGGATAAAGTGATACGAGGTCCAAACTATAGGGACTGTTAGGGGTTGTTTGGCATACACTATTTTAGTTCATCTTTTTATTTTTTTATCTTTTTTGGGTCATATCAATCAACATATCCTCTCGACTTTTTTACACATCTTTTTATAAAAAATCAAAAAATATACTTATTTAGAACATTCCAAACCACCCCTTAGTGTAATTCGCCCAAAAAAAAAAAAAAAAAAGGGTCGAGAATTGATAACGAGGTGAAGTACCAAAAATAAATTTATTTATTTATTTAATTTTAAATAAGTTTGTTCACACTTTAAATAAAATAAATAAGTATTAATTTTGGTTCCTACACTTTTAATTAGATCAATTTTGACCTTTAATTTTAGATTTTGTGTCAATTTGGTCAAATTGACAATACCGTTAGTGTTTTTGGCAAAAAATAATTACCGAATTGGTTGAGGTTAACTCACCGAGTTAAACAAATTTATAATTTTGTCTCTAAAAAATGACACATGTCACTTATATACATATTTTTCATTAAAAAATGCTAACAATTATAAGCAATTGGAATAAATTGAGATAAATTCGTAAATTTAGGGCCAAAATCGAGTCAATTGAAAGTACAGGGATTAAAATGACACAAAGACCAAGTCACGTCCCTTGAAATTTCCAGTTTTGTAATAAATGGCCCATTTGTTTGGCATAAGCTTTTTTTTACTATTTTAGCCACAAAAAGACAAAACAGACTAAAAAGGCAATAAGACAAAATGTCATATTCAAACTATAATCATTTCATTTGTTTTCTCACAAAATTCAAAAAAAATAAAATGCCCATCACAAACGAAACTTTTTAATTTCAAGTTAAAATAGCCAAAAAAACAAAAAAAGCCAACTCACATATCAAACGAAGGCTTATTAATAAATCAAGTTAATTAACACTTTTTGATGATGTCAGAAATTTGTTTCAATTAAAAATTAAAAATTTTATTTTATCAGTTAATTCATATAAGGCCGTTGATTAATTTTGTATATGTGGCAAGTAGAATTAAAAAAAAAAAAAACATGTTATATAATATTGAGTTCAATTTATTTTTATTTTGTGCATTTTAAAAAATTTTGAGAGTACATTGGTGTTTTTTATTTTTTCAAAAAATGAGTTGACATAGCTTGGAAAGATTTTGGCTTAGTGACATTTCTCAAAATGCTATAAATTTTTTTCATTTATGATACTTTTTAGCCAATACCATAAAAAGCAACTTACACCTACCTAGTTTTGTGACCTTTAAAAAAAAAAATGCAATTACCACTAAAGTTTAGCGGCATTTGTTGGTAAATGTCATTAAAATGGATTTTTGTGTCCTTTTTTTTTATATTATAAAACGCCATAAAATTGATGCTACTAAATCATATTTTTGTTGTAGTGATGTGGCACTTCCTTATTGAAATGCCACTAGAGCTTTTTTTTGTTTGTAGCTTTGTGATATTTTTCTAAAATGTGCCATCAAATATTATTTTTGTGATATTTTCTAAAAATAGGCCACTAGTATAGTGTGACTAAAGTGTATTTTTGTTGTAGTGCGTCAACTGGCACTACCAACTTAATCCACATCCGCTAATTAAGCGAACGAATGTGAAATAATTTTTCTCAATCCGCTTAAATTTAGACTGATGGCAGGTGGGAGGTCACCCAACCCAACCGAAACCAGCCCAATCGATGAGCACCCCCCAGTGGGATCCACTTTATGCCTACAAAACCTCATAGTGTAGGCCATCTGTGCAAAAAAATAAATAAAAAAAAAATCTCTATTGGATATCGATGAATAGGTGAACAAATCACTTTTTGTTTTATGAAATGGCTGATTTAAGTTTAAACTAATAGTTGTCATCCATTTTAAAGAACATAATATAATTTATTCATATGTCTAGTGATACTCGATAAATTTAATTTTTTACACAACCCATCTTTACTACTGATATTACTCGATAAACAATTCAGATCATTGTTATAGGCTCGAGATTGAGCTCGCAAAATAGAGTATGGAGAGATATGGAGGATATATAGTAGTATGTAAAGGAGACATTCTCGTTAAGTGATGGAAGAATGATAGGGACATCATGATTTGTTATTGGTGGGTGTGGGCAAGTATTTACCCGATTTGTTAAAATCGATTGGTCGGAACTAATCTGTCACAAAATGAACGGTTTCAATAGTTCGAGCTGACAAATGCAGATACGTTTTTCCCAATTCGGCAAAGTTCGGACGGATGGGAGACCATTTGACCTAACTCAATTCACCAACACCTCTGAGAAAATGATGTTATGTTTTTTATGCTTTGTGTGTTAAATTTTAATTCATTTGTTTAGTATTTATATTTGTTATTTATGAAATATAAAAGTTATTATAAAAAATGAAATATACAAAATTTTAGACCTAAAATAGTAAAAAAATTACCGAAAAATAATTTTAAAAAATGTCTAAAATAGTAAAGCCTAAACTGCCAAACCAATCTATATCTATCAGCCAATCCGCATGACCCACTCAATCTATATTCACTAATTAAGCATGCGAATACAGATTAATTTTCTCCAATCTGACTAAGTTTGGATAGTTAGCGAATGAGAGACCACCTGTTCTAACTTGATCTGATCCGTAAGGACCCCTAATAGTCAGTATATGATATGGGTTGCTGGAAATGGTTATAAATTCTGGGTAAAACCAGAATTTTATCCTAAGTTCGGTCTATTTTTTAGGTGGGCCCCGTGCGTCGATTTTCACAGGTCAAAGTGGTAACGCGTTCTTTGTCGCGTTGTGATTCACGTGGTATATTTGGTTGCTCAAAACCATTACCGAGTGAATGGAAAATTGAAACCAAAGTGTGCTCCATGAATATGGAGTTTTGGTGGAAATTCCTTAAGGTTGTAAAATGGCTTGTCCTACATTGATTTGGTGGGAGGTTTTGAAAGGGTTTATAAGGCTTGGGTTTGGTACTTGGGGTGTACCCCAAGGGGTACCCAAGTGTTTTAAAGGGAGAGGTTATGGATAAAATGGGCTAGACCCATTGGACTCAAAAATCACCACACCCGCGCGCGCGTACGCCGTTGCCGCCGTCCGTCCGGTCGGGCAGGCTGGACTGGGCCTGGGCTTGGGCGCGGGTGCGTGGTGTGAGGTTGGGTTGGGCTGGGCTTGTTCGGCCCAATACTAATCTTTTTGGGCTAAAAACATTTGAATTTAATTTTATTTTTGGTAAAATAAAATCCATAATTCAAAATTAAACTGGTTTGATTTTATTGTACATCCAAACAGGGCCCTTCTCGAAATAAACCAGTCTGGTATTATTGCACACCCAAACAGGGCCCTTCCCATTTTGTTATCTGTTTGATATATAACCCAACAGATTCAAATCTGTTTGAATTCAAAACCAACAGGTTTCATACCTGTTCAGTTCAAAACCAATAGCCACCTTTACATCTATAAATAGACTAGCCTCCCATTTGGATTTAACGAGAATTTTCGTACTCCATCCTCTGCTATAAATCTCTGCATTTTGCTGCATTTATTTTCTGAAAGAAATAGTGTAAGGCAAACAATTTGTAGTGCTGCTATTGTTTGTAGTAGATCATTTCATCCTGGGAGATAGATGTCCAATTTTTGAAAGCACCGTGGAGAGGACGAATCTGTCTTAAGGACACAGTGTCAAACACTGGACTTGATCAGATTATAATTCGAAGAAATTAAATCAAGCAAGTTATTTAATTTATTTCCAGTCCATTATTATTTATTTAAATCAGATTTTAATTTTGTTTTTGTAACAAAATAAAATCTGTTTTTATTTATTTATTTTAATTTTTATTTTTATTTCGAGTTTGATTTTTATAATCAAACAAATTCTCTCATTTTCTTTATTTCTTTACATTCTAGTTGTTGTTTAGTACACAACAGAATTTAATTAATTTAAATACAATGAAAATTATCCAACATGGGTCACGCCGTGCTGGCACCGAATAATTTTCCTTGTAGTTGTCCCTCTCCTTACTCTAATGTCAGTCAACTGTGAATACAGTCCTTGCTTCGATTAGTCTCCAATCCATGAGGATTAAGGAAGAAATAATGCAAATCTAAAATGGCTACTGCCAAACCACTTTGAATTTTTTATCTAATAAATTG